TGGTACCCTCCATTCAGTCATATGTACAATTGTTTGGACAAATAAATTTTCTGTTATACTATCAAGTCTGGTTTGTCCGCCATTTTTTTCCCCAAGCTTCACTTTTTGGTGTAATGTTCCTAATGGAATATTGTACTTTTTTGAACTTTTCCTGAAGCGAAATCCGTAATTTTTGACTTTAATTAAAGCTATTTCTAAGTCTTTTTTTGTATAACTTGTTTTATAAGCCCTACTATTTTCCTTTCTCTTGTAATTTTGGGGCATAGTTCTAAAAATTAATAAAAAATAATAAAAAATTGTGTTAAAAAAATGTCATTTCAAATGAGCTTATAATCGTACACAGACAAGTTATACATTAAAATATTGTTTTATTAGCACATTATGTACCTGAACGTGAATCAAGGTAACTTTGATGACGTTTAGATGAGCGGTTTTTAAGATATTCCTTGATAGGTGAGTTAATAACACGAACCACGTAGCTTGTACTGTTTATATGAGATAGAGAAAAGGCAAGAAAAGAAAATTTTAAGGGCAGCCAAAAATTATCTTACCCACATTATATTTAATGCAAGTGAATAAAAAAATTTCAATTTTTAGCTATATTTTATGTGCTGCTTCACCATTAAGAAAAGCTAGTACTAGTGTTCATTTTCACCCCTAAAGTTAGTGTGTACATCACTAATGTACGTTTTATAGTAAAGTATTCACCCCTGTTGACAGTATAACATAATGCAATGCATGCAACATTTCATGCTCTTTAATTTTTGCACAAACATCAGCATATGTGGCAAAAAAAATAATGCTTTTCAACAGATAGAGTAGAGTCAACTGCCATCATTGTTTTTTAAAAAAGTTAAATACAAATTTTTTTAATCAGCACTCTCATTACAAGAGTAAAAAATCATAAAAGATTCCTCAACCTTACTTACGAGATCATACCTTGTGAAAGTTCTAATTCAAGTGAACAACTATCTTCATTCATTTTACAGTCAAGAATAAATATCCGAATTAGGAAAATGTATTAAAAATAAGTTGAACTACAAGAAAATAAATATAATAATATTACTTATTTAATTAGGTACGCGCATATTGTGACTTACAGAACCGATTTTTGTGCTAAAATTTTGTGACTCACTTTTTTCACTTCTTTTTAGGCAGCGTGGGGTAAACGTAGTTTTGTGGAGTTTCTTTTTAGAAACATATATACACATAGATACTTTTTGGAAAGAAGAGAAGCTAATCTTTACTTTTTTAAAACTTTTATGTATGGCTACTAAACTTTTTAACGGATTATTTTGCTCCTGAATCTTTGGTTGATGTTTTCACATGAATTTGCAGTCAAAGGCATGTCGTGTCCGCTTTTTTTGTTATTCAGGCAATTTTTTACATGCATTTTCTATTTATATGCCAAATTTCAACAAAAAATAATTGGGAGCAGATGTTACGAGGTGATTTATTAAATATACTGCTTTTTTTAGGTAGGGTTAAACAAACGTTTTTTGTGGTGTTTCTTTTTAGAAACATATATAAATAAAAGTTATATTTGGAAAAAAGAAAGGTTAGACTTGATTTTTATAGTACTTTTATTTATAATCACTAAACTTTTTTATGGTTAGTTTTGCTCAAAACTTTCAAAAAAATTTTGTTGATGTTCTCACATTAATTTTTTGTTGAAGAAATGTTGTGTCCGCTTTTTTTGTTAGTTAGGCAATTTTTTACATGCATTTTCTTTGCACATACCAAATTTCAGTGAAAAATAATTGGGAGCAGATAGTTTAGGAAGTGTAAAACTTTTGGTACCTAAATTCGTTTTTTTTTTTTTGTTTTCGTTTTATCAGTAAAAGAACAACAGCCAGGATAGGGGGGGAAGGCGGATTGTAAACAAAAAAATTATTACTACATTGTATTATTTTAATTTTTAATATTAGATTAAAATTCAAATAAAAATGGTATAAGTTATGGAAAAAAGACTTCAAAAAGTAAGTTAATATGTTTTTCATGATAATAACTTTTTTTAAAAACAAAACAATAATGATAAGTTTAAAAACCTTAATGTTTTTTTACATGGCATGTAAACAAAGATTAAGGTTTTTAAACTTATACCAATGATGGTATATATTTAAAAAGATTAGGATTTAAGATTAAACCGTTACTTTGGAATATTTTATTAACTAATAGTATCAGATATATAAGAATTAATACACCATATATATAAAAATAAACAAATGACATTACTATACTTTAAAGTAAAACTTTATTGGCTTAAGCCAATAAAATTTTTGACTAAATATTTTTATAATAATAAGCCTATTTTTTGTAAAAATATCAAGATACTTTTACAATAATAAGTTTATTCTTATAAAAATATATTGTTAGTGTTTTTCTAATATACAGTAATATAATTTTAAAATACAGTAATATAATTTATGTTTTTTATTATTTTTTCATACCATTTTTTTTTAAGTAAAGTTGTTGTACGTAAAGCAGAACTGATTTAATAACTGTTATTTTTGTTGACTGTTGACAATTTCAAGATGTTTTTTTTTTGATTATACAACTTTTTTGTTATCTTTAGTCCAATCTGCACAGACTACAACTGGTAAGTTATTATAGCATAACTTTTATTAACCATTAAATGAAATGTGCAAACTTTACAATATGTTTAACTTTAGTTCCTTAGTCATGTGCTGCAACTAGTAATTTAAAAAACTATTACATTTAATGTGTATGCATTTCTTGTTATTTGCAATATTGATTTTTTGTTACAATATTGTAATTTTAGTATCTACCTCTTGTGCCACATCTGGTAAGTTAAACAACTCTTTTTAATGCGCACAAATTTCTTATTGATTGCAATATTGATTTTTATAATACATTTTTTACCTTTAGTTCTTTCTACATGTGCTATGCCTGGTAAGTTTCAAAACCTTTTTTCTTTTAACATGTGTATGCGTTTCTTATCAATTGCATATTCTTTTTTGCAATTGCATTTCTTATCAACTGGTTTTTGATTAAAACCTTTTTTATATAGTTACATCTTCAGCTGTCACGTCAAGTAAGTTTAAAAATTATTACTTTTTAGACTATGAATGCATTTATTACCAGTTGCAATTTGTATTTTTTATTAAAACAAATTTTTCTTTTAGTTCCATCTGTACCAGCTTCAAACAGTAAATTTATGAATCTGGAATGTCTCTGATTGATTATTGAGTTCCTCTTATTCCTATTTATATCATCTATTTAATACTTTTGTGTTTTGTTATCTCTCCAAGTGCTATAAAAGGAGAGTCAGAAGCTTATACATATTTAAATTTTTATTCTGATTAACTTTTATTAAAAATTTCATTGATTCATTAATCATTCATTCAGACAAACTGTCTTAGTAAGTATTTATTTTATATTTCAAAATTTTTAATTGCATGAATTACAAATACATTAATATTTTATTTGTTTTTAGAGCTTACATATGAAGCTTGTAGGTCATTTCGAACTTAAAATTAAAATCATTTATTAAAAGCTAAGACAGAGTAATTACTATGTTTTAAAACATTTTTTTTTTTTTAATTAGGTTGGTGGGTTAACTATGATCATTTAAATGAGAAAATGTATACTAGTGCAACTTGTAATCTGAGTAAACAATTCTGCATTGTGCTTTCTCTTTTTTAATAATTGCATGTGAAAATGTTGAAATTGTCATTTCTATGTGTTTTCTTCTTTAAGTTGGTTGAGGGGAAGGGGGAAAACCATCCCTCTCCTCAAATTATACATCTCTAATGTATGTTCTATAGTAAAAAATATTGCTTTATGTAATACAACAATATTTTCAATACTAATGTATGTTGTATAGTTATAAAAGATTATTTTACCTTTTTAACAAAACATTTGATTATTGAAATAAAGATGTTATTTTTTATTAGGTGGGGGGGAGGGTGCATCATACTCCCTTCATTTTAAGTCAATGTGTACATCAATAATATATGTTGAATAGTAATAAAAGATTATTTTTAATTTTTAACAATACATTTAATTATTGTAATAAAAATAAAATTATTTTAATTTTTTGTTATGAGTTGGGGGGGGGGCAGGGACCTGTGCGACACACGCCCTCCCCTAAAGTTAATGTGTACATCACTAATGTATGTTTTATAGAAAGAAAAAAATATATTTTTACTTTTTAACAAAATATTTAATTACTGCAATAAAGATTAAATTATTTATTATAATGTATGATTATTGTATTAGGGTGATATAACATCACAACCACATCTATGGCTAACTCTAAAATCACCTTATTTTGTTTGGCAGTATTTTGGAATCAGGTTATGGCAATATTTTGTGTATAAAATATAACAATTACATTAAAAAAGTGCTTATTTCTGACAAAAACTTGTTTTTTATTAAGGGTTAGATGGTGTTTCATTACCCCCTTTGGCTCCCAAGATACACCTAACATCCAGGCACCAAAATGAACTTGTAGCCTATTAGTGCACCAATCTTGTGATACCAAGATATAGGTATTTGGATAAAAATTGACAAAGTTATAACAATTTAAGTGAAAAAAAATAATTATTTTGACCACAATTTCTTCAATAATTCCATATATCTAAAATTTGCTACTAAAAATGTATCACTTTTTTTTAAAATTGTTCGTTTTTAATTCACCTTTAAAATACTGTATTGAAGGCCTTTCTAATGATATATAACATTCTAATATATGCTCAATTTAAAAATTTCCGTGCGCGTACCTGATTTAATAACTTTAAATTCGGTCAATAAAAATTTACATCTCTATTAGAGATCTTTTCTAACTCTATTAGAAGAGAAACTCTATTAGAGTTTCTTCGTTTTAGAGACTCTAAAACGAAGAAACATTTATAATAACAAAAACAAACCAACAGGGCTAGAGGAGTTTTATAATTAATACAAATGCATATAATATTACAAAAAATTACATATAATATAATAATAAACAATAAAGAAGAGTTAATAATTAGAAATACCTTCGATTTACTACGTGCACCACGAGGCTTAATAAGTTAAAATGTTGTTTGAAATAACATGAAAGTAACGCATGTGTATAACATTCCAAAAAACAGTTATGACTGCAATTTCTTCAAAATCGGAAATGTTAAAATAAACGACACTAACCGTGAAAAAAACCGGTAGCTAACTTTAGTAAGACTCAAAATCAGGTTTGCGATTTTATAGAAAACACAGACCTATAAAAAAAAAAATTCAAAACGAACTTTAAAAAAAACTAAATTTAAACCTCGTGCGCACATCTTAAATCATCAAATATGTCTGATTTTTTAACTGCTTTTCTTTGTAATATTGGTGTATTGTATTTAATGCTTTTTTTAATGCAATTTATTTTATTGCTATTATTCTACGTCTGTGTTTTCTATAAAATCGCAAACCTGATTTTGAGTCTTACTAAAGATAGCTAACCGAAAAAAAAGAGTCACAAAACTTTAGCACAAAAATCGGTTCCGTAAATCGCGATTTCTGCGCTAATCCGCTGCGGGGCCGGAGGCCAAATTTTTTCTCTAATAAATTTTAATAATAAAAATAAAAGTGAAATGGCGCTTTTTTTAATTATTTAAAACGCTTTTTATTTACTAAAATTTTTATTTTCTTTTGCTTTTGATGTAGTTTTTCTTTACTTGTTATACATTTATAAATCTTTTTAATTTATAAATTTAAAAGGTTTGTAATTTTAAAACAAGTTGAACAAAATTGCATCAGAAACCTTTTGCATTTGTATTTATTCATTTGGATATATTACACTCTAATATTGCTTAAAATGTGTTTCTTTCATTTCATTATTTAACTATTTATTTAATTATTTATTTTATTATGTTTCTTTCATTTTAATTCTTTGTTTTGTCTCAAACATAACTGAGACAAAACAAAGAACTTTTAAGAATTTTTTTTAATAAAAGTTAAATTTTTTTTTTAATCTTGGCGAAAGAAAATTTGTTTGTTGCATTGTACACGCCTGGGATGAAACTATGTGACGGATCCAGAATGGACATACCCTATCCCCCTAGATCCGTCACTGCTCTGTTGAGCCCGTAAACGGAAATATGACGAATTGACGTCTATTGAGGTATCAGACTTTATTGGGCAAGGAAAAATGGTTTTTGAGGTTATAATTTCAGGTCACCATGGATCAACTTGTAACTGAGATTGAAAGGGGGATTAAAAACAAGCTTATGCTTCTGGTGAGATTGAAGACAAGCTTATACTTCTGGTGAGATTGAAGACAAGCTTATGCTTCTTATATTTTGGATTCTTTGTCCGTCTTTTAGATATGGATTCTGTTGTGATCACAGCGTGCACTAAAGAACTTTTTTAAATTTACCTAAACGTTGCGGACATTTATATTCTGAATAAAAAACTGCACTGAAAAAAAGGAAATTGCTACAATTCTAATAGTAGACAAAAAAAAATGCCTTTCAGCGCTAGCATTTTACTTGTTCGTTTTTGGATAATACAATAATTTTAATTAGCAATATATTAGCACATAAAAAAATTGACTTGAAAAACGGATACTATTTTTTTCGGGGAGGGAAGAGGCTATAGATTTAGCGCCATGTTAAATCTTTTACATTAATTAAATGATCTAGAAGAGGAGTTGTGATGGAATATTTGAAATAATCAGAAACTGTGTCAGAGGGATAATTATCTCTATACTTTTGTCTGCCACAAAGCCTTAGTTTAATCATGGTCTGTAGAGGCTACAACCGTTATATCGCTGCGGCCAGGATGACCTAAAGACGGGCCTGAATGCAGTAAAATATTTTTTAAAAAGGTATATATATTTCTAGTCTAGACAAAATATTATTCTTTGCAAATATTTATAAAATATCACAAGTATAAAAAATTCTATTTTAATTCATTTCCTACAACACTTAAGAAATTGGCGCGGAATGAATAACCGACGACCGCAAGAGGTTTTAGTAAATTCTCGTATTGAAACAGGAGAACGTAATTTAAATTTAACTTAACAACAACAACAACAACAACAACAACAACAACAACAACAACAACAACAACAACAACAACAACAACAACAACAACAACAACAACAACAACAACAACAACAACAACAAGATATTTATTTTCCTTTTTCAAAATTTACATATAATCATATAATAACAATAATAGTAATAATATTATCTATAATAATAGAAACAATAAAATTATAATAAAATATAACTAATAAGAATAAATATAAATAGTTATTTGAAAAGGAAGGTGTCACTCAAACAGAAGCCTGATCAAATGAGTGATACCAAATAATTATTTAATTATAACAATAATAATTTAAAAAAATATATATTATCTATTGTAATACAAATAATATGATGACATGATTGTCATTCATAATCAAAATGAGTGACACCAATTAATTATAACAATTAGTATAATAATAAAATAATTATAAAAATAATAAATATGAACCGAAAATCGCTAAGAAAATAAATAAAATAATAATAATAACGATAAGGCGATACGATAAACAACGATAACGATAAACAACGAAAAGTTAAATAAAAAGACAAAAAAATATGAAAACACTCAATAACAACAGCAAACAAAAATAAAAATAATAAGCAAAACAGAACAAATAAAAAACAAACCTCACACAAACGAAAAGGCAAAACACAAAAACAACAAGATGAAACACAAAAACAACAAAACGAAAAGGCAAACACACAAACACTTCTACAAAAAAAAAATTGAAAAATAAGAACAAACTTTAGTTATTTTTGCGAAATAAAGAAAAAAAAAAAGGTGTAGAAAATTTGGTAAAATAGAAAAACAGGAATCAACAATAAAAATAATTAGCACAAATAATAACAAACTTTACGCAAACGAAAAGAGAAACGCAAAAACTACAAAACGAAATGCATACACAAAATGATGATATTTAACAAATGTAATATTTAATAAATATAATTAATGGTAACAATAATTATTTTTCGTAATTAAAATAAAATTAAAAAAAATGATAATTACAACAAAGACTAGCTACAAAAATATCTTCTAAAACTTGATCTTTTCTTTCTTCTATTCCGCTTTTTTGTTGGTTTCCTCTGTTTTTCTTTTTCTTATCTTTTTCTTTTCTTTTTTAATTTTTATCTTTTCTTTTAGTTAAATTTAGGTGAATAAAAATTCGAATTTTTTTTCTTTTGTCTATTCTTTTTAAAGTTTAAATGACGTAAACTCTCTCCTTCTCCTTTTTATTTGGACTTCTCCTTTTTATTTGGATTTTTTTCGACGTTTTTTTTTTAATTTAATATGCACTTAACTTTTATTATTTCTTTTTTCGTTAATTTTAATTTCTTTCTTTGTAAAGTTTTTACTTTTTTCACTGATTAGATTTGTTGTTTAGTTACTAAAATATTTGTTTAAATTTCTTTTTTCTTTTTTCTTTTTTCTTTATCTTTCTGTTATAAAAACACGCACACCATCGTTGAGGACTCTCCAAGGATCTCCTAACACTCAAGATCTTAGCAAGATTTTTTAAGATCTTCATAAGATTATAGTTTTTTTTTCCTCATTTATTTCTTAACAAGATTTTAATAAGATCTTAATAAGATCTTAACAAGTTATTTAAAGAAAGATTTCTGACAAAACTTATTAAGGTACTGATAGGTTCTTACTAATTAATGTAAGATAAGAAAGATCTTACAGATATTAATAAGATTTGCAAGATTCGTCGCTCTGGGTATTCTATTTTATTGTAACGTATACTTTACAAGGTACTCGTAAATTAATTTGTTTATTATTGTTTTTTAAGGTTCCGATTTTATAATATTAAAGATCTTCTTTCGGAAACCTAGTTTACACTGTTATCACGTGACCCTCTAAAAGGGTCAAATTTGCCGACTAAGGGTCCACTTTGCCGACTAAAAATCATTGATAGGGGGGGGGGTCCCCCCCACACACACACACATCCCTATCGCGCCGGCTTTATATATATATACATATATATATATATATATATATATATATATATATATATATATATATATATATATATATATATATATATATATATATATATATATATATATCCCAGTAAGCACAGGACGTTTTTAAAACGTTTTAATTCCGTTCAATTTACGGTCGGACGTTAAAAGAACCAATACAATCGTTTTTAAAACGTTTTTTTTAATGTTAATTTAAACGTTTTTGTAGCGTTTTTTAAACGTTTTATTTTTTTTATTAACACGAAATTTCTCAGTTAGCTTATAAACGTTTTTAAAACGTTTTTTTAACGTGATAAAAAAACTTTTTTTAAACGTACAGCACGGCAATATTTAAAAGAGTATGTTTACGCAAATAATGGCGTGACCTTCGATTAGGCGAATTAATTTATTTAAATAAAAATTATATAAATTAGTATATATTTAAATCAACCAAGTGTTTGTATTCTTTTCTTGTAGAATTAAATTTGAAAATATATTGAAGTAATTTTAGTTTAAAGTTGTATGCCTTCGTTGAAACTAGGTTGTGTTTGTATTTCTATTTGAATCAAGTAGATATGATTAAGAAAGTTTTAATGGTGTGGTTAGCTAGATTATTTTACTCTATTAAATAACTTAATTGTTGAGTAAACTTGAATGCTTAAAAAAACTAGATTAAGTTTTTAATTCTACTTAGTTATCAACTGCTTTTAACGCAAAAAATTTATTTGGATTTGAGAAAAGGGAACAACATTCTCAGAGTTTTTCTTCTTTAACTCTAAAAAATAAAAATAATAATATCAGTGGTTTTTATAAAGGAATTACTATAGTTAAAAAGGCTGAAAGGAAAAAATATGATGATTTGTTTCAAGAAAGAAAGTGACTTACTTCAAAATGTCATTTTAAAATTTTTATTCTTTAATGATATTCTGGTGTTATTACCAAATGTTTAGCAGTATGAAACCTATAATATTATATACCATACTATATACCCTATTTTACTTATAAAGTTAATAATCTGTAAAGTAATTTGTAAAAATTTTTTAATTGTAAAATTGTTACATGAGAAGACAAGTTGTTAGATGAAATTCAAATATTTTCTATGTTTGTGTTGTGTAGGTCAAAAAATAATAAACAAAGATGACCAAGAGGTTCATTTAAGACACATCAATCTTCATCACCTTTTAATAAAAAGGATAAACATTATGGATTTCCATTATCTCAAGCAAGTAAGTCTTTAGTTAAATATAATAATGTAATGTTTGTTGTAAAATGCTAACATGACTGTCAATATTAAAAAACATCATTAAAATGATGGGGTTCCAATTTTAACTTTAAATAATCTTCATCAAATCCAATATTTCAATATTATAAAA